GCTGGCCTTGAACTCACAGAGATCTGCCTGCCTCTGCCACCTGAGTGCTGGGATTAAAGGTGTGTGCCACCATGCTGAGCAAAAATTAATTTATTTTTAAAAATAAGATTTAGGGAGCTGGAGAGATCACTCAGTGCTTGGTGAATACTGCTCTTGATGGGAGTTTGGGTCCTAGCACCCATATAAGATGGCTCACAACTGCCTGTAACTCCAGCTCCAGGGGGTCTGACACCCTCCTTCTGACCTCTGAAGGCACCCACAAGCTTACACATACACACACATAGACACAAATACACATAAATAAGAATAAAGTAAATTTTTAAAAATAAGTAAGTTGAACAGTATGTACAGAACATCACCTGAAGTTTCCCTCTAGTCTCCACATGCTCTGCACACATATGCATACCTGTATCCACAACCTGTGCACACACAATTACACACATTCAGAATAAAGGAGGCCGGGGGTAGAGTGGTGGCCCATTGTAGTGGTGGCCCATTACGGCAGGAGCCCATGCCTGGCCAGGGTACTGGCTGTGGGAAAGAAAGGGGAACTAGCGGGGGAGGTGGCCCCATGCCCTCTGCAGTGGAACTCTCTTGTGCTGACTATCACAGACAGGCCAGAATTGAGCAGAAGAGGGACAGGGTCAGCCGCAGGGGACAAGGCAGGACAGGAGGAGCTGGCTCTGTCAGAGATCCCTCATCCCAACCCGGGAGCTATGGCCTGTCCCCAGGATGACTCAAACCTAGGTACAGCCAGGAAGCATGTAAACACATGTGCACACAGAAATGTACACATACCCACTCATAAACACACACATAAGCATGTGTGATAGATGCACGCACACACATGTGCATGTATCCATACATGTGGTGCAAACATCATATATACACAAGCCCCCCACTCAAATATGCACATATACACATATACTATATATTCATGCATGCACACATAATCTGTACAGATACACACACACGTGCAAGCTCAGGCATCTTCACTGAGGCCAAGTTCTGGTATCACCTCCTTCAAACAGGCCTCCCCTGTGCACACAGGAACCAACCCTTCCTGCTCCCAAGGTGGGGCTGGCACAGGTACCTTGGGGACAAGCAGGAGGACTTAGCAGATAGAAACTATCTGTCCTACTGCCCTCATGAAAAAGCTACTTCAGGGGCTGGAGAGATGGCTTAGTGGCTAAGAGTACTGATTGCTCTTGCAGAGGACCTGGGTTCGAATCCCACACCCACATGGCAGCTAAAACAAGTGTCTGTAATTCCAGTTCCAGGGCATCAGCTCTTCTGACCTCCGAGGGTATTACACAATATTTTTTAAAGAGTTATTTATTCTATTTTATGGATGTGCCTGAGTGTATATATGTGCACCACGTGCATGCACATGCCTGTGGAGGCCAGAAGAGGGTGTCAGATCCCTTGGAACTGGAGTTATAGGCAATTGCTAAATGCCTGACATGGGTTCTGAGAACTGAACCAGCATCCTCTGTAAGAGCAGCAAGTGCCATTTCTCCAGTCCAAATCTGACTTTTAAAAAATAGTTTATGCCAGGCATGGTGGCCCACACCTTTAATCCCAGCACTTGAGAGGCAGAGGCAGGCTGGTCTTTGTGAGCTCAAGGCCAGCTTGGTCTACATAGCGAGTTCCAGGCCAGCTGGGGCTATGGGGAGACCCTGTCTCAAAAAGACCCTGTCTCAAAAATTTTTATTTTATATGTATGAGTTATTGCCTGCATGTATGTGAGCCACCAATGTTGTACAGTGCCCACGGAGGACAGAGAAGGGTGTCGGATCCCCTGAAACTGAAGTTTTATGGATGTTGTTAGATGCCATGTGGGTGCTGGGAATCGAACCCAGTTCCTCTGCAAGAGCAGCCAGTGCTCTTAACTGCGGAGCCATCTTTCCAGCCCCCAATAAATTTTTTTTTTTTAAAGAAACTGCCTCAGGGCTGGAGAGATGGCTCAGCAGTTATGGGTACTGACTGTTCTTAAAGAAGACCCAGGTTCAAATCCCAGCACCCACATGGCAGCTAACGACTGGTCATAACTCCCAGTCCCAGGGCTCCGACAGTCTCTTCTGACGTCCTCGGGCATTGCATGACACGGGTGCACTTACCTACATGGAGATAATTCATGCATACACATAAAATAAAAAATAATAAATAAAATAAAAAATAAACTGCCTCAATAGGGAGACCAGTTATGCCACCCGGGTGGGTCCTTAGACCCCTGGCCCTGCCCCCTCCCCAAGGCTATGTGAGGACTGACAGGGACCCTGGTGGGAAGGCTTGAAGTCTCTGAGGGGGCTGCAAGCAGGTGTCCATTCTGAGGTTCTGCCATTGAGGGGAGGTGACCTTTCTTTTGTCCCCTCTCTCCCCTGAGAGCTCCCACGGCTGCTCCCAGCCCATCCACCTCCCTTCCTTCCCACAGAGGCCTCTCTCCCCACCCCCCACTTCCCAGCAGAAAGGCTGGAGCCAGACAATGAGATAAGGGGCTTGTTTTCTAAGGGCCGGAATTCGGGAATTCAGCAGGGCTTATGGGTCAGGGCCAGAGGGCCCTGCTGTGGGGAGGCAGGGAGCCTTTCCAACAGGTGGGGGTCCCTAGAGCCCCAGACCTGCAAGGACCTAACCTTTGCATGCTTTCAGGATGGTTCTGCCAAATGGGCTGGAGAGAGAGAGGGAGAGCACCCTAGTGTTGGCTCTGACCCTGGAGGTGGCCTCTGGGCTGCAACTCCGTCCCCTCTCACTTCTCCATCAAGGACCTCCCCTCACTATGGCCCATGTTGTCCCCTGCCTGAAGCACTCTCCCCTCCAGCAGCACCTGCCTATGTCTACTGCCCTGTCTTCAGAGCTGCCCAGTTGCCGCTTCCTCCAGGAGGCTCACCTAAAGAAGCTACTTCTCCCTCCAACACTTCACCTGCAGACAGTCAGGAAGGGGGAGAGGACAGGCTGGCACACAGAGGGGGCATGGTCAGCATCTGAGACAAGATGGTCACCCCTTTCTCTAGCCCAGGATGGCCTGAAATTCTCAGCCAGCTTCCTGCCTCAGCCTCCCAAAGAACTGGGATTCCAGGCATGAGCCATCACACCAGGCTTTTGCAGTGCTGGGGATCAATCCAAGGGTCTCATACATGCTAGGTGGGTGTTCTGTCCCTGAACTACATCCCAGCTGTAAGTGGGAGACTTGACCTCCACAGACAGTGTTCTTGGGCATGACTTCCACGGCGTCACCTGTCTCTCAAGGGCAATGGGAGAGAGAGGAAGGGGCTTTCTAGGCACCTCTGTGACTGTTTTCCCTTATGCCCTGGGAGGCTGTACCTTCAGCCCCAGTTGCAGCCATCCTTCTGTCCCCTACCCGGCACCTGTTTAGTGCCTGGCAACAGTATGTGCTCAGCAAAACCATACTGAAAAGCCAGGCACAGTGGCTCACTCCTCAATCTAGTACTCGGAGGCTGAGCCGGAGGATCGATGCAGCAGGGCTACAGAATAAGTTCTAGGCTAGTATGGACTACAGAGTGAAATCCTTTCTCAAAAACAAACATTCCCAAAATGAGAGCTGGAGAGATGGCTGAGCAGTTAAGAAGGCATTCTGCTCTTGCAGAAGACCCAAGTTCAGCTACCGGCACCTACCTAGAACAACTCACAGCCACTTGTACCCCCAGTTCCAGGGGATCTGATGCCCTCTTCTGGCCTCAACAGGCAGCCTCACTCATACCCCCACAGACACACACCTAGACATAATTAAAAAAACAAAAAACTAGTCAGTCGTGATGGCACATACCTTCAATTTCAGTGCTCAGGAGGCAGAGACAGGCAGATCTCTGTCAGTTCAAGGCCAGTCTGGTCTACAAAGTGAGACCCTGTCTCAAAAAACAAAAACAAACAAAAATCTTAAAAACAAGAAGAAGATAGGGGCTAGGGATGTAGCTCAGTTGGTAGAGTGTTTACCTAGAATGCAGAAGGCCCAAAGTTCCATTCCCAGCACTGCATAAACTGGGTGTGGGGGCACAAACCTGTAATCCCAAGCAGGAGGATCAGAAATTCAAGCTTGGGGCTGGAGAGGTGGTTAAGAACAGCGGCTGCTCTTGCTGAAGACACAGGTTGAATTCCCAGCACTGACGTGGCTTAACAACCATCAGTAACTCCCCTTCCTGGGGATCCTGCACCCTATCCTATTCTGGCCCCTGCAGACATTGTATGCACATGGTGCGCATACATACATGCAGGCAAGACACTCATATACATAAAATAAAAATAAATCATAATTTTTTTAAAGTTCAGGGTCATTCCTTGGCTACATAGTAAATTCAAGACTAGTCTGGGATACATGAGACTGATGGAAAAATGGTGGAAAGTTAATTTTTTTTTTTTTAAGTGTGCACGAGTGTATTGTCCGCATGTGTGTAAGTGCACATGTATCGTGCAATGCTGACGGAAGGCAGAAGGCGACGCTGGATCCTCTGGAACTGGAGTTAAGGATGTTTGTTAACCACCATGTAGGTGCTGGGAACCGAACCTGGGCGCTCTTCAAGTGCTCTTAACCGCTGAGCCATCTCTCCAGCTCCGGAAGGCTGTTCTTTGGCGGGAACATGGCACCATATATCAGTGCTGAACTCGAGGCAGCTGACCACCGGACTCAGGTAGCTTTAGGAATTTGCATTAGCGTCTTTGTTTCCTAATCTGTAAAACAAGGACTCTAACATCTTTTCCCAGAGTGATTGGGACCCTTAACTAAGCAAAATCTGTTGTTTTTAGAGCAGTGCCTAGTACACAGTAAAAGCCACCTGAGCGTCGGCTGCATAAACGCCGGCACCGCCTGGGTTTCCTCTTCTCTAAAGCAGGAGTCTTTTAGCTACCATTCCAAGCCCACCTGGTCAGCGCTAAGACGGAAAACGAACTACAACTCCCAGCATGCCGCGCCCCCGCACGGAGGGAACTACAACTCCCGGCATGCTGCGGGGCTCACCCGCTGCCGCCTAGACCCTGGTGAGGCAGCACGGACTACAACTCCCAATATGCCCTGGACCTGCCCGGCCCAAGTCCGCGACCTTAGGGAAGTCCAGCTGCTCGGACCCCCGACTCGGATCCGAGCTCCTGCCTCCGCGATGCTCCGCAGACTGGCCCTGTCGGGGTTCGGGGCCCCCTTGGCGCGGTGGGCTGGGGGCTGGGCGGGGGTCCAGGCCCACGTGGTGGACCTGCGCAGCGACACGGTGACCCGGCCCGGGCCGGCCATGAGGCGCGCCATGGCCGAGGCGGTCGTGGGAGACGATGATTACGGCGAGGACCCCACCGTCCGCGGTGAGCCGGGCGAGCAGGCCCCGGGCGAGGAGCAGTCCCCTGGCGGGGGTCGTAGCGGCGACCCCGGGGCGCTGTCCATGGTGATGGCGGGGAGGCCGGCCTGGACGCATGGTGCAGCCTCGCCCGGCGTTTGGGGATGCACCTGCCGCACCTAGGCTTTGCGTCTTTGCGCTCAGTCCTGCCCATCACTAGGGAGAAAAATGCAGATTCTTGAGCCCAGAACCAGACAGACATGCCCAGCCAGAGTCTGCATTTTAACTGCACCACCGGGTGATATTTGTACACATTGCAAGGAGCCCATATCTGGAAAAGGGAATAACCAGGGTTTGAACCAGGTTTTTTTGTTTTTGTTTTTAATGTGTATGAGTGTTGTGTCTCCATGTATATAAGTGCGCCCGTATCGTGCAATGCCCATGGAGGCCAGAAGAGGACATGAGATCCCCTGGAACTGGAGATACAGACGGTTGTTGGCTGCTATGTGGGTCCTGGGATTCAAACCCGGGTCTTCTGCAAGAGCAGCCAGTGCTCTTGACCACTGAGCCATCTCTCCAGCCCCTGAACCAGGTCCTGGCTGTGATACCTATAACTATTCTCCTTTACTCACTGACCCCACAAAGACAAAACTAATCTAGAAAAGGAGGCTCTCTGCTCTCTGCTCCCCCGTGGGAGGGGGGATCCCATACGTAGGGAGTGATTCAGGAGATGGTGACCACAGCCTACTGTTAAGAGTTGCTGTTAAAGTGCACTTGTAGTCAACTAATCTAGAAAAGGAGGCTCTCTGCTCTCTGCTCCCCCGTGGGAGGGGGATCCCATAAGTAGGGAGTGATTCAGGAGATGGTGACAACAGCCTACTGTTAAGAGTTGCTGTTAAAGTGCACTTGTAGTTCTGCTGGTATCTGTGCAGCATCTGCTGGTCTAGGGATGAGCCATTTGACCCCTCAGGGCCTGTCTGTGAGTCTAGGGGTGATTGGAGCTGATCCACATCAGTCTAGTTGACACAAGCTGTTACCAGGAACTTCAAAGACTCAGCCACTGCTCAGCAGGGTGTAAACAGGTCACCACATCAAAGCTGGGGGACATGCTGGCCTTCACCCAGGACTGAGGAGGATGTCTTGTGAACCAGAGAGCTGGGAAGAGGAGAGCGGAGCCCCTGCTAAGGGTGCAGCGCAGCACTGGGGGCAGGAAAGGGGGTGCCAACTCCGAGAGAGGTGAAGCAGGTGTAGGGTGGAGACTCCGCTGTCTTGAGGACAGAGGTCAGATCACTTCTGCCTCACATACCCTGCCACAGTCAGAAAAGACAGGCGCTGTGGGCTTTAAGGGGGCCTTTCACTCACCCTCCAGCTGCACCCTTTATGCCCTGTCAGCTCCCCAGAGAGGCCAGCTCCCCAGAGTCTCCCCTCCCAAGGCAATGTGGAGAGGAAGTCAGCTAGGAAACCGCAGGGCCTCACCTGCTGACACTGATGGGAAAGGAAGAAAAACAGGTGTGAGGTCTGGGCGGGAAGTGGGGTTCAAGCCGCAAGAGAGTTTCAGTGACCTGGGGTTGGGGAGGAGGTGATGTCAAAGGATCGACAAGAGGGGCCTCTGGACCTGAACCGTGGTTACTAAGACCACAGACTACACAGCTGGAAGATGGGCTTCAGCCCCACGCACGGGCCCAAGGGCTCTTCTCTGAACAAAGGTACTTTTTTGAAGGGAGAGAGTTACACAAGGTCTTGCTGTGTATCCCAGGCTGGCCCCAAACTCAAGGTGGTCCTCCCATCTCAACAGAGTACTGGGATTACAGGTGTGTATCACCACACCCAGTAACACATGCACTTTGAACTGTGCCTGGTGATGTACAAGCAGGGCAGAGTGGCTCTGAGTAATTGATAGACAGTCCTGCCCCATCCTCCCCCCCCACACACACACACCACCACCCTGGTCTCTGCTCACATTCCACCCCTCTATGATGGGATCTGTGACTGGTGGGCTTATTCCTTGATTTCTTTTGGTTGCAGCCAGTGGAGCAACCTGGCAGATGGGGGCGGGGTGAGTTCTACAAGTCTACCCCCCCCAGCTCTTTTTCTTCTGCAGCCCTGGCCTGGGTTAGGCCCTATTAGTCCCTTATTAAATATCCTTCCAGTTCCCCGGTGTTCTTGTGCCCTCTGTTTACCGCTATGGCCTGCTACTGGTGCTCTGGGCTGCCTGTCCCCCAGGGGCATCATCCCAGGCACTCTTCCCTGCAGAGGTGATCTGCAGGGGACCTCAGGCTTGGGTGCAGGCTGTTTGTTCATGCCCAGCATTAGCAACAGAGCCCTCCCGAGTTGTGTAGTGCACCAGCTTTCTAACACATAGCAGTGAGGCATCTTGGGGGCTGCTGCCTCCTAATTAGCAGAAGGCACCATGAATACCCTGGGACCCCAGGCTCCGCCTGGCCAAGCTAAACAGGGTCAAAGAACCCTTTTAGACCCAGTGCCAAGTCCTGCCCTCCTCCCCGTCTGTCTCAGTGATGGGTCACTGCCGGCGCCGGGGTTCCCAGGTCCTCCTTGGGCAAGAATGCCACCTCCACGTCTATGAGCAGGGCGGGGTGGCTCAGGTAAGGACCAGGCACCACTCCCTGGAGCTTTGGACATCCTCAAGGCAGCCAGAATGCTAGGGGAGGCACCTGCTTCCTAGGCACTGGGCTAGGACCTGCATGGGAGGAGAAGGAGAGTCTGAGATGGGAAGGAGAGCCCAGTCCCAGGTTTGCTCTGTGGGGTTTGCAGTAGCTCCGTGTGGCTGATGCCTTGGTACTCTACTGCCCCCTGGTGGGCTCCTGGAGCATCAGCAGGCCAAAGCAGCACACACACACCCC